TAAGTCGAGTTCTCTAATACTGAGCTAGTTCTTCCTGGAAAGATAATTGGGCGTTTTTTAAATATACATTTAATATAATACAACTCAAGCTAAACACGTACAATGCTCCCAATTTAAAAGATTCGCAGGCACTTGGAGAAAGCTTGCCCCTGTTCAGGGGTGTCAGTGTTACTACCGGCATGTAAGTAGTTCACTTGTTCCTCCACAACCATTCACTTGTGTGAGGACATATCGCAGACTGCGGCATCACTCCGTGACTCAGTAATACTACCAGCGTATCCAACCTTAGCATGATATTATAGTTATCCAGCGGTTTTATCCGGAAGGCCGCATGACAATCTAGGAAAGTATGCCATGGACAGCGGTCTGAGCGCGTGTTTGACTGTGGTTACCGGTGTTTGCGGGGGGTGGGAGGAAGGGTCTAACTCCAACTCTTGGACTATGTTTCACAATAACTTCTGCTCGTCTAACGAAGACAACGTCACATGTAGCAGATGTATATGTTTTCATTCCTGTCAGCAGTAAACTTTATCGTCCAATGTGCTTCAGCCTTTGTCGTATTAATTAGCTTCATGCGTGCAGTTGGCTCCCACTACCCCTCCTCTTTTCTATGGCTTACTATTATCATGCTAAAGTTCATTTCTGTATATTTTGTTATAGTATTTCATTTCAAAAAGTGCCTCACATGATCCTATCCCTTTGTGTGTTTTCTTTTTTCATCTCGTCAATAGCTCGGAGCGTCTCGTATGCTTATCTGTGAGTTGTTTCCAGTGTTTCCCTACTCTCACGGCCCGACCTGGAGCCAGGCCTCCTTGTTGATTGCTTAATTAACTAAGCAGTTGCTGTTGAACTATTAGTTCAGTCAAGCACTTTAATTACTGGGAACGTCTGAAGTTCCTTGATTTGTACTCCCTGGAACATAGGTGAGAGATACACCATACCTGGCGTTTACCTGGAGAGAGTTCCGGGGGTCAACGCCCCCGCTGCCCGGTCTGTAACCAGGCTTCATGGTGGATCAGAGCCTGATCAACCAGGATGTTACTGCTGGCTGCACGCTATCCAACGTACGAGGCACAGCCCGGCTGGTCAGATACCGACTTTAGGTGCTTGTCCAGTGCCTGCTTGAAGACAGCCAGGGATCTATTGGTAATTCCCCTTATGTATGCTGGGAAGCAGTTGAACAGTCTTGGGCCCCTGACACTTACTGTGTTGTCTCTTAACGTGCTAGTGACACCCCTCCTTTTTATTGGGGGGGGGGGGTGTTGCATCGTCTGCCGAGTCTTTGGCTTTCGTAGAGAGTGATTTTGTGATTTTCGTGTGCAAGTTTGGTACTAGTCCCTCTAGGATTTTCCAAGTGTATATAATCATGTATCTCTCCCGCCTGCATTCCAGGGAGTACAGGTTCAGGAACTTCAAGCGCTCCCAGTAATTGAGGTGTTTTATCTCCGTTATGCGTGCCGTGAAGGTTCTCTGTACATTTTCTAGGTCAACAATTTCACCTGCCTTTAAAGGTGTTGTTAGTGTGCACCAATATCTAGATAAAACAAGCGACCTGAAGAGTGTCATTATGGGCTTGGCATCCCTAGTTTTGAAGGTTCTCATTATCCATCCTGTCATTTTTCTAGCAGATGCGATTGATACAGTGTTATGTTCCTTGAAGGTGAGATCTTCCGACATGATCACTCCCAGGTCTTTGACGTTAGTTTTTCGCTCTGTGTGGCTGGAATTTGTTTTATACTCGGATGAAGTTTTAATTTCCTCATGTTTACCATATCGGAGTAATTGAAATTTCTCATCGTTGAACTTCCTATTGTTTTTCTGCAGCCCATTGAAAGATTTGGTTGATGTCCGCCTGGAGACTTGCAGTGTCTGCAATGGAAGACACTGTCATGCAGATTCGGGTGTCATCTGCAAAGGAAGACACAGTGCTGTGGCTGACATCCTTGTCTATGTCAGTTATGAGGATGAGAAACAAGATGGGAGCGAGTACTGTGCCTTGCGGAACAGAGCTTTTCATCGTAGCCGCCTCAGACTTTACTCTGTTGACCACCACTCTTTGTGTTCTGTTTGTGAGGAAATTATAGATCCATCTACCAACTTTTCCTGTTATTTCTTTAGCACACATTTTGTGCGCTATTACACCATGGTCACACTTGTCGAAGGGTTTAGCAAAGTCTGTGTATGTTACATCTGCATTCTTTTTGTCTTCTAGTGCATCTAGGACCTTGTCGTAGAGATCCAGTAGTTGGGACAGACAGGAGCGGCCTGCTCTAAACCCATGTTGCTCTGGGTTGTGTAATTTATGAGTATCTAGATGGGTAGCGATCTTGCTTCTTAGGACCCTTTCAAAGATTTTTATGATATGGGATGTTAGCGCTATCGGTCTGTTGTTCTTTGCTTTACTGCCCCCGTTGTGGAGTGGGCCTATGTCTGTTGTTTTTAGTAACTGTGGGACGACCCCAGTGTCCATGCTCCCTCTCCATAGGATGTTAAAAGCACGTGATAGGGGCTTCTTGCAGTTCTTGATGAACACGGAGTTCCATGAGTCTGGCCCTGGGGCAGAGTGCATAGGCATGCCATTTATCGCCTGTTCGAAGTCATTTGGCTTCAGGATAACATCAGATAGGCTTGTGTTTACCAAATTCTGTGGTTCTCTCATAAAAAATCATTTAGATCTTAGACTCTGTCTGGTTAGCGGCTTGCTAAAAACTGAGTTATATTGGGACTGAGTAGCTCACTCATTTCCTTGCTGTCATCTGTGTAGGACCTATCTTGTTTAAGTAGGGGCCCAATACTGGATGTTGTTCTCGACTCTGATTTGGCATACGAAAAGAAATACTTTGGGTTTCTTTCGATTTCATTCATGGCTTTTAGTTCTTCCCGCGATTCCTGACTCCTATAAGGTTCCTTTAGCTTTAGTTCGATGTTTGCTTCACCTGGAAAATCCTGGATGGACTGGTCACATAGATAACGTATAGCGTATCCTCGAATACGTAGTTTATACTCATATATGTACCTGCCAACCTGTAGTGTACATTATCATGAATATACTAGACCCGTTAAGTTCCTGCCAAAATCATTCCTGTATTAGCTAGTATTTCCCCACAGGAAAAAAAAAAGAGGTGCACTGACGCTGAAAGGCTCTTGATCCAAGGGGCCGAAGTTACCTTACCATCCTTCAATTAAACCTGATTACCTCACATTCCCTAGGTGTTGTATGACCCCTATTGGTTTAGCGCCTCTCCATGATTTATACTGCTATGTGCACCGCTAAAGTTACCCCTCGATTTTTTTTTATCTAAACCTTCACCGTTAAGTTCGTTACGTATATCCATAGCAATGGCGGCCCCCAAGGCGAGGGGAAGCTTCACCCTCTCAAAGTAAAAAAAAATAGTAGTAGTATTAGTAGTAGTAACGCTGCTTCAAAGCAAGTATCCTAGTCCCGTCTGTCACCCAGATAGCCTCACCGAAGCCTCCCTTCCCTGGTATGAAAATTCTGGCCCCGCCACTGATCCACTAATCCTTCCTTGGATACAGCAGCGTACCTCCGACAGTAATAAAGAAAAGACACAGGTACAGACAAAGCTTTTACTGACAACGTTTCACCTCATGTAGCGCTTTTGAGTCAATGATTTCGTCAAGTGAAATGGCTTGATAAAACTGTAGAGTGAAACTTTGCCACAAAAGCTCTTAAGAGTCATTCGTTTGTGAGGCTGGTAGTAGTTGTAGTGTTCCTCCCAGTTGTTAAGATACTTCCTGATGCCTCTGCTTCCTTTCCTCATCCTCTGCACTTACCACTTAATTTAATTACAGGTATATAATCACAAGACTACTATAGCACCTCGTTCATGTACATTGCAGCTTTTTTTGCACTTCTGTACTGTGTGTGTGTGTGTGTGTGTGTGTGTGTGTGTGTGTGTGTGTGTGTGTGTGTGTGTGTGTGCACATTGATGTTCGTATACATGTAGATGCTCAAGGTCGGTTTTTAACATTTGAAATCCTGTACTCGTGTATGCCCATCTGTTTGTGCGTTTGTGTGCACAGGCACGCACACACACATTAGCATACATATTACCAAGCAGGAAACAGAAGAAGATTCAAGCAGGGTAGACGAGGAGATAAGGAGGGGTGGCAGTGGTGGTGGAGGTAAGTTGGGTGGGTATGGTGAGGCGGTGGTGGGTGGTGGCGATGGTGAGTGGTAATGGTCGTTGGTGGTAGTGGAGGTGGGTAAGTTGGGTGGGTGTGGTGGCGGTAGATGGAGGTGGGTATGTGGGTGTGGTAGTAGGTGGTGGAGGGGTCAGGGGTGAGCACCTGGAGTAACCTCCCAAACAAGCATTGTGGGTCGCTTCACAAACACGCCTCACAATATTGCGTGTGAGGCAGTATTTAGCAAGCAGGCAGGGTTATCTCTGAGTCACTGCGCTAACCCACTTCATCCGCAGATAGCCCGGGCAGGGACAGCCTTGCTTCCCAGGTCATCCTCACGGGTCGCTACCCAAGTCCAACACCAAAAACACTTCCGGTGTTTAACGTAACTGCTTTAGAAACTCGCATTAAGAGTTCACTTTAAATGGCGATGCTATAAGAAACAATGATTCTTAATTGTAAAGTTTACAAAGAAAATAGCTGCTTTTTATCTTACATACTCAACGTGAAATATAGCTACCAGTTACAAAAAAACAAACAAGGATGAGAGTGTAGTTCTAAAGAGATAGAACGTTCTGAAAACACCACCTGAAGCAATATGATCAGTGTGCGTCACTATTTTTCCCCTTAACAATAACAAAAAAATAATACTAAATTTTAGATCTGGCGATTTCCTGGAAGCGTCGCTCATCAAAAACTGCAAAAAATACCTACATGTTTTTCTAAGCCCGAAAAATCTGGCGCACGTACAAGCAGATAAGACACCATATATCTGACTTCACCCTCTTTCCAGCAGGTCAGAACATCCCAATAATTACACAATAACCATCCCGTCTTCAGTTGGCTCTGCTTACCTGAGCCCTTGAACCATGTGACGAAGCTTGGGATTGCCGTTGTAGAAGTGAGGGAACGAGAAGGCGACTGATGCCCCATAGTAGCATGGCCTCATGTCTAGGACACCTTTAGTGGGACACCCCTGCTTGCCGCAGAAGCAGGAGTTCTCAGGGTGGGCGCGGCCGTAGGTGAAGATGTCTTCTGGATGTACATAGCGGTAAGCCTCCAGCCCCCCGTGGGAAACAGTACTATTGTACACTAGCGGTAGTGAGCGACATAGCTGACCATTGAAGATATACAGCGTCTCGTTCTTGTTAAGCCCCGGACGAAAGCCGTTGGCATCTGTGCCACGGATCATGTTACACACATCACCATACCAGAAGTGGAGGGCCTCGTGTCCATTCCAAGCTAAAATTTTGTTCATTTTAGAAGTGTCGCCCTTGCCGGTGTGCATGACATAGAGTGGTTGTAGTGTGTTGTTGAGACCCATCAGGAGGCCAAACAGCCGATGTGGGTAAGGCAGCTCCTGAATGGTCCTGGCCCAGTCCAGCACCCGTGACTTGTGACCCCATAGGAGCTCACCTACATTAAGCCTTCTTATGGTGTTGAAACCATACATCTTCTTGATCATTATCAGCACTTTCTTCACTGCTTCCTCGTCCTTCACCAAGTCTGCAGCATTGACGAAAGGTATATTGACGGTGGTGATCATATCCTCCTCCGTCCCCGAGGATAAATGAGGTTGGAAGAAATACATAGGCCTTCCCTGGTATTCAACGGTACCGTCATCCCGATATGCAACATTCTCTTTAACTTCTTTCATAGTGTACACATAGGGTCCCACCTGCTGAACTCTGGGTCGCTGCCCATCCATGAACTGTCTCGGGTTGGTTAGGTTGAAGACGTAGACGGTGTAACGAACGTTGATTTCGGCCGTCCTCCATAAAAGGTCTTTTTGGGAGCCCTCCTTCATAACTATGGTGTTCATAACCCCCAGCTGCACCGCCACGTCCCACCACGCTAACACCACCAGCAGGAGGCTCAGACTCAACACCATCATCGCCAAGAGATTCCACCAGCGGCAGCAGCAACATCCGCGCTTCTGAGGGTAGTAGTGTGTTTCGTCATAGTAATGATCTAGATATTCACTCGACACTTGTTGACGTCGGCGTCTCCTGTTCTTGCCTTTGCCTTCACTCATACATATACAGCACTTTACTCTTGGAGTTCGTGTATGAGCCACCAACTGCTCAGCTGTTTCTTCCTCCTGTTTAACCTCCCATTCACTCAATTCCTCTTCCCCCTCAGTGATTATATATTCGTCCTCAATCATTTCTACCTCGTCTTCTGCCATACCTTTCATTTTCGTTTCGTGCACGTCTTGGCTTATCTCCATTATTTATTACAAATAATTCTCCAACAGTAATACTTAAAAGGTGAACACAAGATTCCTGACTAAGGAATTCGCTCAGTAAATAAGCCGCACAGAAGAAACCAGGTCTTGCTACGTGGAAACTCCATCACAGCCGCCGGACACCTGTATCTCAGACCCCACGATAAGAGCATAGGTGTGGCAGGTGTGCTCAAGGTCACTCGACACACATGACTGGTGGTGTTAATATTCTCCAGCTTCGGCCACTGCACTCCTGACGAAATTAATCGGTAATAGTCATTAGCACCGCTGGCTCTAGGTACTAGTGTAATGTACGACACCCGTAGTAAGGTATGCCCCAGGTGTGTATCCTCGAAGCACAGCACACTATATCTATTTTATTCGTTATTTATAGAGCGCCGGTGCAACACTACACAGTCGCCAGGTAATGTCTCTTGCAATTAATGGAGAGACGTAAGATGGAGACTCCACCACTCCTTGTGCTGCATCATATAAAGTATTATATCATCAACCACTAAGGACACTACGGTGATACCACGGTGTCTTGTACAATAAAAGACACGAGATCACCAGTTACGAAGTGTGTGAGCACACGAGTGCACACTCGGAAATATATCGATATTCTTGCCCTGGAAGTCTGCAGTAGCAAACACGAGACAAAGTATCAAATGTTTTTTCCATGGAAGTAACCACACACACTAGCGCAGCATACGTGAATATATATCGATGCTCTTGATCTGGGAGTATATATATTCACCAGCACACATGTGACAATGAATAGATGTTCCTGGCTGAAGGAAACAACACACACGAGTCAATATTTTCGACGTTCTTATCCTAGAACTAAGATAATTCACAGTATCACATTCATTTCATTTCACATGTCTGACATCACCTCTAAGAAGTGAGAAATGCACTGAAACGGGAACACAGCCTCCAGCAGCAGCGGACGTACGGCCGACACGGTGACCGTCACAGGAAACACTGGGCACATAGTTGTGTCTGTCGCGTTATCACCACACAATACTGATAATGCAGAGGTGTGGCCCCGTTTAGCAAGCCGTGGGGTTCCTCTACTCTGGGGTGTCACGCCGGGAAATACCTCGCTCGTAACACCTGGCCACCAGCACCTGCCTGCGGAAGGTTCCTGTTGGAGTCCTGTGGGTGGAGCCTCACTGAAGGACGCGTGTGATGCATCGCCGCTGACGCACACATCTGGTGTAAACCCTCCTATCACACTTGCCACTCCACCTGAGCAGGAGGTACACCATTACCCAGCTCCTCACACCGTGACGCATAACTATAAACACCAGGCACGCTTACAACTTCCTTCCATTTCAACACCTTCTGTCGCACGACCTCATTATGAACTTAGTTATAAAACACCGATAAAACTAAACCGCAACTATCTCCCTCAGTTTCTTGCTAGTAGCGTCTGTCAAGAGCACTGCTAGTCAAGACGAAATTCTGCAAGATGATGATGACCAAGGAGGAGGAGGAGAAGAGAGTGTGGTTCCTGTGCACTCATTACTAACACTGATGGTGCCTCCACTACCAGCCATGACTGACTGTTAACACCAGCTCGTACTGACGATCCGTCTGCCACACATAACTCTTGACCCAGCCGGATAACACGAAGATGCTCTAAAAAATAAGACGGAAATACGTAACAAAGGCTGCAAAGAATTGCGGGGAGAAAATACTGTAATTGCGCAGAGCATTAGTGCTGAACATTTTTTTTTAGAGCTTGTGTAGTGTTTGTGTTTTTGTGGTGTAATAATGTTGTAGTGCTTCAATGCGTTACGCTCGTGTTTTAGTGTGATATGCTCGTGTTTTAAAGATACTCTGGTCAGTGACAAAAACAAACCCACACGGAAGCAAAGTAAATGATGAGTACTACATATCTCGACTTTACACTGATGACCTCTTCAGTGGCTGGTGCCTACACACTACCATACTTTGAAAACTTGTCCTACTTCTCTTGTTGCTGCCTTGGCAACATTGCACAGCTCCTGATGACGTATTGAGAAGTGTGAAAGTACTTGAGCTAAAGATTTCCACCCCCGTGGCTTGTCTTGCATATATATATATATATATATATATATATATATATATATATATATATATATATATATATATATATATATATATATATATATATATATATATATATATGTCGTGCCGAATATGTAAAACTGGTCAATTAGCAAGAACTCATTTAAAATTAAGTCCTTTCTAAAATTTTCTCTTATACGTTTAAAGATATATTTTTTTCATTAATGATAATGTAAAAATTTATAATTTTGCATCAAAAGAATCTTAGAAAACTTACCTAACCTTATTATAACAAGAACAATTTATTTTACCCTAACCTAACTAAATATATTTTAGATTTGTTTACAATATTTTAATACTAAACACAGTGAAATATATTTTTTTCATTAGGTACAGAATGATTTTGGCCAAATTATTGCATACACAAATTTTCACTTGTCCTATATGGCAAGATGAACGTTGCTATTTAAGCTAAGATCGCAAGTTCTGCCTATTCGGCACGACATATAAATATATATATATATATATATATATATATATATAATATATATATATATATATATATATATATATATATATATATATATATATATATATATATATATAACACATCGGCCGTTTCGCACCAAGGCAGGGTGGCCCGAAAAAGAAAAACTTTCATCATTCACTCCATCACTGTCTTGCCAGAGGCATGCCTACACTACAGTTATAAAACTGCAACATTAACACCCCTCCTTCAGAGTGCAGACACTGTACTCCCCATCTCCAGGACTCAAGGCCGGCCTGCCGGTTTCCCTGAATCCCTTCATAAATGTTACCTTGCTTACACTCCAACAGCACGTCAAGTCCTAAAAATCATTTGTCTCCATTCGCTCCTAACACACTCACGCATGCTTGCTGGAAGTCCAAGCCCCTCGCACACAAAAACCTCCTTTACCCCCCTCCAACCCTTCCCAGGTCGACCCCTACCCCGCCTTCCCTTCACTACAGAACTGTATACTCTCGAAGTCATACTATTTCGTTCCGTCCTCTCTACATGTCCAAACCATCTCAATAATCCCCTCCTCAGCCCTCTGGATAAGTTTTGGTAAGCCCACACCTCCTCCTAATCTCCAAACTCTGGATTCTCTGCATTTATATTCACACCACACATTTGCCCTCGGACATGACATCTCCACTTTCTCCAGCCTTCTCCTTGTTGCAACATTCACAACCCATGCCTCACACCCATACAAGAGCATTGGTATAACTATACTCTCATACATTCCCCTCTTTGCTTTCATAGATAATAGTTCTTTGTCTTCACAGACTCCTTAGTGCACCACTCACCTTTTTTCCCTCGTCAATTCTATTATTCACCTCATCTTTCATCGACCCATCTGCTGACACGTCCACTCCCAAATATCTGAACACATTCACCTCCTCCATACTCTCTCTCTCCAATCTGACATCCAATCTTCCATTACCTAATTTTTTTGTTATCCTCATCGCCTTACTCTTTCCTATATTCACTCTTAACTTTCTTCTTTTACATACCCTACCAAACTCATCAACCAACCTCTGCAACTTCTCTTCAGAATCTCCCAAAAGCAACAGTGTCATCAGCAAAGAGCAACTGTGACAACTCCCTCTTTGTGTTAGATTCTTTATCTTTTAACCCGGCATCTCTTGCCAACACCCAAGCATTCACTTCTTTTACTACTCCATCTATAAATATATTGAACAACCATGGTGACATCACACATCCCTGTCTAAGGCCTACTTTTACTGGGAAATAATCCCTCTCTCGCCTACATACTCTAACCTGAGCGTCAAAAAGTGCTCGAGTCTGTCCAGGTTAACATATTTCCTAAGATGTGCATCCACATATAACCCTTTAATGCATGAGTACGACAGTATCCTGAGGCATATCTTTACGAAAGTACTTAACCTTACTCTAGAAGACGGACAGTGGGAAAAAGCTACACTTTCTGTCAGACTGTAAGGTATTGGTGTCCGCAAGGCATCACAGATTGCACTACCTGCTTTCCTATCCTCATGTATGACATGCAGTAAAGTTGTAGCAGCGATTCTCCCTGAACAGATCCGAGGGAAAGATTGCAAGGCATGAAGAGGTTAACAAGATCATAAAGAGCCTCACAACAGCCGGATGCACAGCAATAAAGGAGCCACCTCAACTATGCAGATCTGATGGCAACCAAAAGCATCCAGATGGTATCACCCTTCAAGCCTGGACAGACGGCAAGCAGAGTTAGGTTAGGTAAGGTTCATCAGGAAACAGGACAAGTGTATAATGGCGCGGGGCTTAGGCGAATAATGACCCGCCATTGGAGCTTTTGGTCATCTGACCGAGGCCTTCCGCTGGCTTACCGATCCACCCCTTTAAAAATTAATAGTTCCACACCGGATGGTGTGGAACTACACATGTGCATCCACGTTGTCTGATATCTATCTCCAATACCCCAGGGAGGAAGGAGGGGCAGCGGCCAGCTTTAGGGAGTCCCAAAAGTCTAGAAAATATGGTGAACTTGCCCATCATTATATGGTTGTTCCCATAGGCTCAGCGACCCTTGGTCCATGGAAAACGAATGCATTTAAGTTCCTTTATTAAGGAGCTATACAAAAGACTCATCAGGGTAACTAAGGAGCCCAGAGCGGCTAGTTATCTATTCCAATGACTCAGCGCTGCGGTACAGAGGGGTAATGCCTGCTTTATCCTGGGTACGCGTCCCAGCTCTGAGGAGCTGAAGGAGATTTTCGCATTGTAATCTGTGACAAACGCAGAGCAATAAGTACTTGGAATTTATCCCTCAAACCTCATATACGGTATATACCATCTCTGTATCAGCAATGTATCTTTTAAGTCTTGTGTACCATACCTAGTGATAAAAGACAAAAGATGGGGTGGTAGGGGAAGTGAAATATTCAAATGGCTTCCGGAAGAAATTCAAATATGTTTCCTCAAAGACTTTTTATCCACTTCTCCGAGACCATGGGTCCCACAATAAGCAAACTGAAAAAAAATTATGACAAATCTGCGTAAATCAGTCTAAACATAACGATATATAAACTCGATTCAAGTTGTAATTAACGATTGCAAGTGTATAAACAGGAACGTGGACGGGGGCTCGAATTTAAATAACATGTTTATCAGAGATGATAGAAAAGGGAATTATTGTACATTTTTTATGGATTCCCTCATGCATTGAATTCCTCCTTCATAATAAATTTGATATGCTAGTCAAATAAAGTACCCTGAAAGAAATTGTAGAACATAACTTTGGTGTGTCTGTCTTGCATTAGCAATAATGTTCGGAGAGGAGTAAATAATGAAAGTGAATGTCATGGAAATATAGTTGGAAGCATGAGTAGGTCTATCACTCACTATAATAATATGAACGTAGATAAGTACGTTCACTGAGCAACTTGCAATGTGAACAGACTGACTGATGTTGTAGTGGCCAGGCTTAAGCTTGGTTACTAGTACTTCTGGCAGTATGGCAGACACACAGCTGATGATCAAGCTAAATGCAAAGTATGTGGCCAGGCCTGTGGTCACTGTCTTGAACACTATGTGCTTAACTGTCCACTTATTGAGGAATTTAAAGGCAGTAAAATAATCGATGTGATAAGTCAGGGTAACTTATTAATGAAGGTAAGATATCAGGCATATTACACAAATATCCTAAATTTACTTGCAACAGGTAAGTCAACTGTAGATATAAATCCAGATGTACTCCTTCAAACCCTTTTCTGGGGCCTAATTCCTGGATCTTTTGTGTATCCACGTGTTCTTACCTTACCGTCCACAGGATAAATTTGGGTTACACAATAAACTAGCCGCATCGGCGCCAAAATCAAATCACTTCAGCTACTTGAATTAAAGATTAAATTTTCACCTGTTTGTCCAATACATGATTAGTTACAGTTTTTATTAGGAATTCACGTGTTTTATTGCTGTTTATATTCATATTTTAGTCTTGTGTTATGTTTGTTTTTTTATTGTAGTGGTATCCTCTAGTCTTAATGTGTTATGTTCATGTTTCAGCAGTGTGTTATGCTAAAGTTTTTGGGTGTATTATGTTTGCGTATTAATGTTGTATCATGCCTGTGTTTTTATGTTGTGTTATGATTGTGTAATAGTGCTGTTATGCTCGTGTTTTAGTGTTGTTTTATACTTGTGTTTTAATGTTGTGTTATATTCGTGCTTTAGTGTTGTGTTATGCTCATATTTTAGTGCTGTGTTATGCTCATATTTTAGTGCTGTGTTATGTTTAATTCTATGTTCCGGAGCTATAGAGAAATTACCTCCAACAGGAGGAGAGGGGGGAACCATGACGCTACCAGCAGATCTAAGTCACACTACCAATTGTACTTCAACACATTAACAAAAATATGACGTAATCGGTGGTATCGAGTTTTTTTTTTTATTTAAAAAAAATTATACATTAGCAGTGTGCTGCTATCATGGTTACGAAAGTTAACTTAGCTATGTTTCCCAGTCGTATTCCATAATGAAGGAGGGGCTTAATACATAGTGTTGAAAACCGCCAGTCTGAGCTGGGAGACTTCTGTAGGGTAACGAGAAT